ATGGTACATTCTAACACACTGCTGTATTCTATGGCACTTTAGATTTTCAAAGTTGTTTTCACGTATAATCTTTCATTTATGCTTCACAACGAGGAATCTTATTGTCCAAATAAATTAGGAATAAAGTTGGTATCATAACTACAGCTAAATGATTTGCTCAACCTCACAAAACTATAATAATCTTTACTTTTTAAAGCAATGTACATGTATTAATATCGACATTTTTGTTTGCATTTATGTTGATTTATCCATTTATACAGGTTACATGTTTCTTTATATATAAAATTATGCAATTTTATTTGTGTATATATATTCCTACTTTTGACTTTCTTATATAAATTTAAGGGGTACAAGTGCAGTTTTGTTATATGAATATGTTGCTTAGTGACGAAGTCTGAGCTTTCAGTGTTAACTATCATCCAAATAATGTATATTACAGCCATGACGTAATTTCTCATCCTTCATCGCCTTCCCAGTCTCCAACGTCTATTACGCCACACTCTATGTCCATGTGTATACATTATTTAGTTTCAACTTACAAATAAGAACATGTGGGATTTGATTTTCAAGAGATTAAAAAAACTTTAAATCTGGTGTTCCAAATCTAATAGCTAGCTCCCTTAAAATTGATTAATGGCCAGGACTTACTGATCCCTCATTCTCAATATGCTGCTTTGAATGTTTTCTGCCATAAGACAATCACCTTCAGTTATACACCTTAAATTTTGTGATGCATCCTGTGCCCTAAGTATTATGCTAAGTCTTCTCACATTTTCATTTATTTCTCAAATAGCTATTATGCCTGTTTTACAAAGAAAAAGTTACAAACTTTCCCACAGTTACCAGCTGAAAAAAAATGGCAGAACCAGGATTTGAATCCCACATTTTTGGCTCTACTCCTCAAAATACCATTACTTGAAATCCAGAGACAATCATAAAATACCACATTTTGCCACTGTATCCTTAAGATATCTGCCAATTAATTCTATTGTAAACTTTTTTCTGAAGTGACACATTTAATCATGCCTACAATGCACAGGGCCTTGTTTTGACTTCAAGAAACCTTCCCAGACTTAACTTGCCCAATCTGCTTGTCCCTATGCACTGTGTTCTCAAGACCAATTTCTGGGATCAGATAGCCTGGGTTTAACTCGGTTCTATCACTTCTTAGTTCTGTGACCTTAGGTAACTTGAGTAATAAGAGTTTCCTAACCTGTAAGCAGGGAATAAAAATACTTGTCACACAAAGGCTGGGCCCAGTGGCTCATACCTGTAATCCCAGCTCTCTGGGAGGTTGAGGGGGTGGATCACTTGAGGTCAGGCATACAAGGCCAAAATGGTGAAGCCCCATCTCTACTAAAAACACAAAAAATTAGCCAGGCGTGGTGGTACGTGCCTATAATCCCAGTTACTTGGGAGGCTGAGATAGCAGAATCACTTGAACCCAGCAGCTGGAGGTCGCAGTGAGCCAAGATCACGCCCCTGCACTCCAGCCTGGGTGACAAAGAAAGACTCCATCTTAAAGGAAAAATAATAAAAACTTGCCATACAAGACCGAGGAGGAACAAAGAAGATGATTCACTTAAGGTTGTTCAGAACAACTGTCATGCATTTATAGCACAGTAAATATATGCTAATTTGTTTTGAAATGTTTTCATTTATTTGAAAAGCAGCAAATATAAACTGAGTGATATGGTATAAATCCCTGGGTCCACATAGTATTCATCTCTAAATTTAATCAATACTATCAATGAAGGATCAAAAAAAATTTCATTTCCACTGGAGTCTTAGTATCTCCAAATGGCCCAATCATGTTACAACAGTAAAACACAGAAACATGAGTTAGGAAAGAAAAGAAAACGCTTCATTCAAGATCACACACACACCCCCATCTTCAAATCTTAACTCTGCCAAGTACGAGGTATGTTATTCAGATAAGTTATTCCATCTCCTTGGAACAAATTTTCTTGATAACTATCCTAGGCTGGGTGTGATGGCTCATACCTGTAATCCCAGCACTTGGGGACGCCGAGGCAGGCAGATCACGTGAGGTCAGGAGTTTGAGACTAGCCTGCTAATGGTGAAACCTTGTCTCTACTAAAAACACAAAAATTAGCTAGGCGTGGTGGCATGCACTTGTAATCCCAGCTACTCAGGAGGCTGAGGCAGGAGAATCGCTTGAACCTGGAAGGGCGGAGGTTGCAGTGAACTAAGATGGCACCACTGCACTCCAGCCTGGGCAATAGAGCAAGACTCTGTCTCAGGAAAAAAAAAAAAAAAAAAAAAAAAATCTATCCTAAAGCACCATTATTTTGAAAAGATAATGTAACTGCATATGTAAAATACCTGGTACTTATTCTATGCTAAACAAAGGCTGGTTCCATTCTCTTGTTTCAACGGCTTAGGCTATGATGAGAGATCAGAACTGGGACAGCAGCAGTGAAAATGGAAAAAAAGTGACATAATAGTGACAACAGAACACACAAATACTGTGAAAGTGAATGAAATAATGGTGAAATAAGTTTTAAAATACTAAATCAGTTTGTGACTATGTGCTGAGCAGGCTTAAAGGAATTATCTGGATTGGTTTTATCAAATCAGTGGCACAGTGACACTGCCTGACCTCACTGATTAGTCACTGGTAGAGTTGGGTTTTCTTTTAAAAATCATGTTAACAAACTATGTAAGAAAAGAAAGCTGATGTCTACAAAGGACCAAGGCCATGACACTCAAGTACGATCTGCTATTGCCTGGCCCTAGAACCCTCCTATATAACTCATTTAAGAGATGAGTTCTTCAAGTGAGGCAGACTGGAAGGCAGAAATTGAAGTGAATCCTATGCAACTTGCTTTAAACACAACCTGGCCCATTACATTGCTACTACAATGGACAGACTGACAAACACAAGACACAGGGCGGAGAGGCGGTATAAAAGCTGACCTAAATAACTCCAATTATCAATAAATCCTTGGAAGGACAAATAGTTGGTTGTCCTTTTAACTTGGACTTTTATTTCCTTCTGACTTCAAGACACTGATCTAGCCTATCTTAATCTTTTAAACTTAAAACATTTTATACAGATGTACTGCATATTTGAAACACCAAAACAGAACAAAGTTCAATCTAAAAGATGTTACTTCACAATAACCTACCATACAGTTTAAACATGATATTTTTTATACGGTATCTACCATTAATAGTATTCTTGTCATTTTAGGTAATATCTGAATCAGTTTTAGATTGCAGGGTTAAATTAAACAGAGCTAACAGCTCTGATTCAATATTAGGTTAGGCTGACTCAATATTAGCTATACTTTGACAAGAATGCTAGTAGACACTATATATAATCTTCTTAAACCAGGAAAACATTATAGCCCTACCCAAATGTTGATCTGAAATCAGAGAAGAAAAGATGCTTTAAAGCAAACTTCCTAATTAGATGTTAAATAAATTAAATGCCTTTAAAAATTGTAGGTAAGTGCTTTATTATCCTATTTGTCCTTTATAGATTTCTCAAATAGAAACAAGGAAAGAAGGCTGGGCACAGTGGTTCACGCCTATAATCCCAACAACTTGGGAGGCTGAGGCAGGTGGATCACTTGAGGTCAGGAGTTTCGAACCAGCCTGGCCAACATGGTGAAATCACCTTCTATTAAAAATACAAAAATTAGCTTGGTGTGGTGGCACACAATTGTAATCCCAGCTATTGAGGAGGCTGAGACAGGAGAATTGCTTGAACCTGGGAGGTGGAGGTTGCAGTGAGCCAAGATTGTTCCACTACTCCATCCTGAGCAACAGAGTGAGACTCTGTCAAGGAAAGAGGGAAGAAAGGGGAGGAAAGGTTGAAAGGGTGAGGGTAAGGGAAAAGAAAAGATAAAAGAACAGAACAAAAAAGAAAAACAAAACATTAGCATTCCCCAGATGAGCAGTTGGCTCCTTGAAGAAGTCTTCTGGTAAAGAGAAAGGGAGAAGAGTTCCTAGATCTCCAAAACTGACTCATGAAGGAATGTACAGAATGCTATGTTTCTTCCACCTAGTTTCTGTTTCTTTCCTTGAATGTATTCACAAAACATAAATTCTATCTACTCCACTGTAAACTTTGAGAGCAATATTCTTTCTCACTCACTTAGGACCCATAATAGTATATAAAGCATAGTGAAACATAAGTGGTATTCAACTTTAGACAAAACTCCTTAAAGACCATGAGATAGCACATATTAATAAAGTTTAATTTATATTAAGGTATATTTATTTTAATAATTCGGTATATCTATACATCAAGAACATATAATATAAAAAATATATATATTTGGCCAGCCATGGTAGCTCACACCTGTAATCGCAACACTTTGGGAGGCCAAGATGAGCAGATCACTTGAGGTCAGAAGTTGTTGAGCAACCTGGCCAACATAGTGAAAAAGCATCTCCACTAAAAACACAAAAATTAGCCAGGCATGGTGTGCACACCTGCAATCCCAGCTACCTGTGAGGCTGAGGCAGGAGGATTGCCTGAGCCCAGGAGGCAGAGGTTGCAGTGAGCCAAGACTGTCACCCAGGCTGGAGTGCAGTAACACAGAGTGAGACTCCGTCTAAAAAATATACACATATTTGATTTCTGATCACGGCAACTCATAACTAAAAAGAACAACTTCTAACTAAATGATAATTTTGTATGTGGTATAGAAGAAAATCCAGCTTTATGTCCCATCCTGATATTAGGAAGTCAGTGAAGTAGCAGATGCCACAAGGACCAAGAAAGACACAGACACTAAAATATGACGGTTTTGTAATAATAAAAGGCAGTATTCCTTACCTGTCTCCATAAAACTAAATGTAGTAGCAGTTATTACATGCTGTTATGTATTTAATTATAGGGACAGTAATAAATCTAATATTATCTAAGACTTTGGGGGAAAAGCCCTTAACTTTAAAGCATATTTGCTTTGACAAACCAAGAGAAACTTTCTTTAATTAAAGAAAAAGACCTTTTGTAAACTTACTTGCTAATTTGGCCTGTAATCCAGAAGGTCCAGGTTTTGATGTCTCTGACTTAGAAGACCCTGGAAGAGACAGTTTTGTTTTAGGAAGGCTAACTTTAGGGCTGAAACGAGCAGCCCAATCAAATTTTGAAGAGCCACCAGTTTTACTCTGTTCCTTCTCCCTGCTACTTCTTCTAGGACTGGGACTGGACGCTGAACGGGAACGCCTGGCCTTGTTCTGATCTTTTCCTTGTTTCACTCTGGCACCTGGCGGTACAGTGGAGGAGGCTGAGGCTACAGCAGAAGACGAGGAGGAAGTAGAGGCAGCAGAAGAGGAATCGGTGATGGTGCTACACCCAGCTTTGGCTGAGGTGGCTGATTTTGAAGCCAGCTTGGTAGGTTTTGCAGATCTCTCTTCTGCACCAGTTGATTCAGACCCAGAGCCACTCTTTACACAAGAACTCTCTGTCCTTTTTCTTTTCTGACTCCGTGAACCGCCAGTGGCCCCACTCTTTCTGGTATGAGCCTTGCTTGTTGATGGTGATTGTGCAGATTTCAGTTGTTGCTCCTGGTCTAAATGTCTCTTCTTTGACTTACTATGTGGCTTATTTGTTTCTGAGGGAGATTCAGTATGCTGAAGTGCTTTTGGTTTTTTTGCAGAGCTAGGAGAATTGGTCCTGTTGTAGTCTGGACTAGCACTGCGTTTCACTCCTCGAGAATGGTCTTTCTTAGGCACCTGCCCCGTTTTTTGTCTTTCTGAAGTATTGGCTCTGTCTGGATCCTCTGGTTGTGGAACTATGACAGCAGATGATGAACTGCAGCTTCTAAGAGGTCAGATAAGAAAATAGTTAATATCGGCCTGTCATAATTATAACTGTTATATTTAATGCTTAAATATGTTCCTAATAAGTCCAGTATTAAACATAGGTTTTCAGATGGTTCAAATCTGTAAAATGAAACGAAAGAACCAAACAAAAGCAGGTGTGACTTTGGATAGTAAAGTATTTGATTAGAAAATAAGGGTGTTCTTTAGCCCACAGATTACTGACACTAACACTCCTTATCACAAAACAAGAATTAAGATTACAAGAAAAAGAATACTTAATTGTTCAGAACCAGAGGAAGCCAGAATAATAGTGCCCTATTCACAAGCACAACTGCTTTGACAAAGCTTAGAAGAAATAAGCATTAACATACGCACTTTCAAAATGAAGGTCAAAGACTTTTTTATTGTAGTACTATCAAATCTTCCCGGTTAACACTGCTTTCCAAAGACTCTTATCAATTAGATGTTAAGAATCACCGACTAAACCTAAACTTTATTGTCAGAACCATTTGCTCTGACAATAAAAACTAAAAAAACTTAAAAATAAAAAAGATAGCCATAATGGTTTGTTAAGCAAAGGGGGAATCTTACAGCTCTCTAAACAAAAATCTCATTGTATCATTGACAAACACATTGTCTAGGGTATACTGCACAGATCACTGCAAAGATGATAAAGTGTCAATCCTAAAAGTTACTCAGAGAATAATAAAAGTACGTATCATAATATTTTGGCATAACCTCAAGTTTTAACATTATGCAATGATTCGAATGCAAATAATTCTGCCTTGAAAATGTATAAGCAACATGAAGATTTACCTTTTAGAAAGGTGTCCCCTTGACAGTTCAGAAGTAGTATTAGACTGCACTTTGGGTGCCTTAGAATTAGATTTTCTACTCTCAGGAGGGCTATATCCCTTATGTTTTGCCTGCCCTAAATGTAACCTGTCAGCAGAAAATCAAAACAGAAATCTATCAGGAAACTGAGATGCAAATACAATACTGAAAGTGAAATATTTTTATTTATTTCTTAAAGCTTCCCACAATTCATTACTGACCCTACCCTTTCCCCAAATATTTATAAATTATATTTATTATTCTATCAAATAATCTGGCAAAAGAAATTGCCTCTTAGAACCAACCCCCTCAATACCAAAGAGCTTATTATCACCAGTAGTCATAAATGCACAGTGTTAATACATTTTTCAGCAATTTTAGTGCAGACATTCAAATACGCTACATTTTAACAAAAAGCAAATTTAGTCTTTAGATCTAAACACAACTTTTAATACATAATGTGACTGTAATGGGTTTGGAAGTTTATGCAAAAGACAATTGATGATTCCCACACTGATACTGATTTCCAGTTTGTACATTAAAATTCAGGTGAACACAGTAAATGCAGAGACAAATGAACCAATTATCAAACTGACTTTACAAAGAAAATCATTTCAAGCACTAAACAGTAAATAAACCTACATGAAATCAATATAGTGATACCTGTAAAACTTTAAAGTACTTGTCAATACAAAGAACACAAAAGAGTCCTGAAGAAATACAGCATTTACCAAAAAAGTTCCAAAAAACATTCAAATAATTTCATGATTGATATGGTACATCATATTTACAATAAATCAAATCCTTATGCCAGCACTGTTCTAAAAGCAAATTTGAGGAACATGAAGAAATTTTTCAGTTAGATTTTTTTTTTTAAACCTCTGGGAATGGTTATATGAGATTTACATAAGCAATAAAAAATAAGCATATGTAAATATATATCCAGAAAACTGCTGTTATGCAGATGAGATATTAATGTAATAAATGTAATTTATATAAGTCATAGCTGATACCAACATTCCACATAAGAGCGTATACTAATGAAAACTTAGAAAAAAGTTTCATTAATATCAAATTTACTTGTTAAAAAAAGTTTAAGACATTCATTCCAAACACCATCGCAAAAGAACTTAGAAATGAGTCACTGAAAAACTCACAAAGTAATTCTAACTCAATCTGTAAGGATGCCATAAATTTCTTAAGACATCGTACAAGTACAACCATCTGTTCCAAAAGAGGACCTAAGGTTTCTCTTTTCTGTATCATTTCTTCTTCCATCTTTCTAGAATTCATTAAAAGAGTCTTAAAAGAAGGTAAGAAATTAGCTTCCCAAGAAAGGAAGAAGCTCTGAATCCCTCATATCGTTTTTATTTTTAAGGTTCTAATCTGAAAGTAATAGGGCTTCTTTTTTTTTTGAGACGGAGTTTCGCTCTTGTTACCCAGGCTGGAGTGCAATGGCGCGACCTCGGCTCACCGCAACCTCCGCCTCCTGGGTTCAGGCAATTCTCCTGCCTNCTTTTTTGTAGTTTTTAGTAGAGACGGGGTTTCACCATGTTGACCAGGATGGTCTCGATCTCTTGACCTCGTGATCCACCCGCCTCGGCCTCCCCAAGTGCTGGGATTACAGGCTTGAGCCACCGCGCCCGGCCAAGTAATAGTACTTTTTACTACAGATGAATTTCTTTAAAAACTCTAGGTTAGCCTTTCCAGTGTATTAGTCTTCACTTTCAGTAATGAAAGGACACATATATTTCAAGAAGCATATTTTCTCAAGTTGTAGCTAAGCTGAACCTGGTAAGACTTTTTATACACTGTGATTTTTTTTTTTTTTTTTTGGTTTTTGAGACAGGGTCTCACTCTGTTGCCCAGGCTGGAGTGCAGTGTTGCCATCTCAGCTCACCGCAACCTCTGCTTCCCGGGATCAAGTGATTCTCCTGCCTTGTACACACTGTGATTTAATTTTAATTTTTCCTAGATATTCTCCCACTGCAGACTAAAATTTTGCTTTAACCAATGAGTTTCTTATTAAAGATTTAATTTCTAAGAGTTGCTTTTGTTTTTGTTACATTTCTAATAACAGATCTCAGAGTTCAACTCTTTTCTCTTCAGAAATGAGACTATTTTTCAAATTGTTCTATAGTTATTCTAAAAAGAGAAGTATAACATCCTGGTTTTGGGATATGGAATTTAACAGCTACAGGAAATATAAATTATGCCATTCAGGTTCTCTACATTCTTATTTTCTTAAAGATTGGTACAGACTGGTGTTTTAATTAAATCACATTTTCTACTTCGTTTCATTTCAAAATTTAAAATACACCTTGTTGTGTTCTTTGATTATTAAAAAACTCATTTTGAAAGAAAACTACATATATTCAAAGCTAGACAACTTTGTGAAAAATAAATGTCCAAAACAATTAAAAATTCAGATTCATTCCATTTGTCATCAGAAACTGGCCCATATGAAACTAAATGTGAGGGCTGAGGCAGCAGCCCTCATCTTTTTAACTTAAATAAATTGTTCTGTTGACTTTTACACAACTTACATTAGATCCATCTAATTCTACTGTGTTATTTCTCATGCCCTTACTAATACCTTCAATGAACTTCAGAACTTAGCAGGTAAACTCTCTATATTATACCACAAAAAACTAAACAGCATCCAAATCATTTAGAAAACCAAGGCTCACAAAGCTGGCTTAAATTCAACAACGCCTTACCTGGCACGGTGGCTTATGCCTATAATCCCAGCACTCTGGGAGGCCAAGGCGGGTGAATCACGAGGTCAGGAGTTCAAGACCAGCCTGGCCAAGATGGTGAAACCCTGTCTCCACTAAAAATGCAAAAATTAGCTAGGAGTGGTGGCATGTGCCTATAATCCCCCGCTACTCAGGAGGCTGAGGCAGAGAATTGCTTGAACGCAGAAGGTGGAAGTTGCGGTGAGCTGAGATCACACCACTGTACTCCACCATGGGCAACAGAGCGAGACTCCATCTCAAAGAAAAAAATTCAACAATGCCCACACTAATCTTTCCTAAAATTATTTTAAAGTGTGATATTCTCACTGAGGACTGTTTAAAAAATGTATTTTTAAAAATCGTAAAATATTCATCTTTAACTGTCCCTTCTGCCTGTTTAGCCCATCGAACTTAATACATTTTCTGTAAAGGAGAGTAAACATTTTCAGCTTCCTGGGAAATACTGTATGTCAAAAAAACAGGTACAGAGAGTTCTTAAACAAACGAGTATGGCTAGGCTCCAGTCAAAATTTTATTTACAAAAACAGGCAGTGAGCCAGATTCAGCCCATGTGCTATAGTTTTCAACCCTGGCTAACAAGGAATAGACAACCAGATGGTACCATGAAGTGACAATATGGGGCCTCCCAAAATGGAGCTCTATTATGTCCACTTATAAATTATTAATGCTCAAAATACTGCAAAGTAAATCTCCGTAAAATAATGATGTCCAATCTGGAGTAGCCAATTAGAACATCACAGGTAAAGGAGGCTTGGAGGCCTCCTTTTAGCTCATTTTACCACCTCTCTAATTTAGCAAGCCTTAATGCTCAACTTCAGTTTTTATTAAAAGCATAATCTTTTTAAAACCTAGTAAAATTTATATCCACTATAAATAAAATTTGTAGAATAGTATAGTAAAATTCATAACAAACTCTTTTAAACAGCACTAGAATGAGGTCATTTAGTAAATTATAGCCCAAAGATTTGGGGGAGAGAGAGTGTGTGTCTGCGTGTGTGCATACTCACACATGTTGTCAGGAGCTTCTATAACAACATATGGGTATTCCTAAAAAAAAAAAAACCTCACGTTTCTGCAAAATTACTCACTAAAAATAACAGGGCTAATATGTTAAATATAAGATTAGGTTCAGAGCACACAAACCTATCTTATTTTGTAATGAGCATCCTAGCAAAAACATCAATTTTAATAAAAAAAAAATCAAATCTCCAATAAAATTTGCACCAATAAATTCACTTTGGAGTCTTATTTTTGTATTTTCTCCTTTAAGTGTAACTTTTTAAAAGACATTTTAAGAAAAGCTTCAAAAAATTAAAAACGTAATTCTCAGGTAGACTTTCCTGTTTGTTAATCATCTTTATAAACACAGGAGTAAATGGTTTTGAACTTCCTGAGACTGTTTTTGACAGTACAAAGTATGGTTTTAGAAACCACTGGATAGCTATTTCTTTCACTCAATTATTTCTGCCAGATCTGCTTTTTTTTTTTTGTGGTAATGTCTTCATATATATTACCAATCCTTCCATTTTAATTCAAAGGTCTTTCCCCATTTTCAGTTTATATATTAGCGTTGTGGGAAAAACTGCTTATGAACCAACACTACTTCCACGTTATATTGATATCATTTCCCTATTTATCAAGTGTGTATGGGCCAATTCACATTAAAGAAACCAACATTGCAACAGAACAGACTATAATCAACTCTGGATTACCTACTTTCAGGATAATCTTGAAGCCTCAAATGCCTCCGAGTGTTAACTTTTAGGCACATAGTATTGACTGTACCCTTCCATGTACATTCATACTGCTATTTAGTCAAATACTTTATAGTAGTCCACAGAATTAAAAACCATCTCTAATCCAGAGGAGATGTGAGAGACACCTAAACTTTGTATCAAGAGCACAATGTTGGGCCAGGTGTGGTGGCTCGTGCTTGTAATCCCAGCACTTTGGGAGGTCAAAAGCGGGTGGGTTGCTTGAGCTCGGTTCAAGTCCAGCCTGGGCAACATGACAAAACCCTGTCTCCAAAAAAATACAAATATTAGCCAGGTGTAGTGGTACACACACCTGTATTCCTGGCTACTCGGGAGACTGGGGTGGAGAAGATCACTTGAGCCTGGCAGGTCAAAGCCGCAGTGAGCTATGGTTGCACCACTGCACTCCAGCCTGAGCAACAGAGTGAGATCCTCCCTCAGTAAAATAAAAGAAAAAGAGCACACTACCATCTTAATGTTAGGAAAAATGAAGAGGCTAGTTTTAAGTAGCTAGTTAATTCCTCTTATAGGTGGTAAAATGCCTGAATTTAATTTTTATGCTAGATATATTCACAGCTTATATATTTGATATACT